CCTTTTATGACGGATCTTTAGCGAAAAACTAACAATATCCACATTTATAAGGTTTAATTTTTTTTGTTCCAAAATCAAAGCACAATAACCAACGCTTGGAATCTCGTTTTTTACTCTTGAAAATATTCATAGAAAACAATGTTTCTTTTTTTCTTTCCATTTTTGAAATCTTCAATTGAAAAATTCAGCGTCTTTGTTGTTGTTACTGTATAATTTTATCGTTAATGTCGATCGTTCAATACGATCATGTGGAAATACCCCCCAGGAATCAAATCATTGGTAACTTTTCTGATCAATATTAAACACATACACTCAAGCAAACACAAACATACACATATTTGCACACACGGACACGAATAGCGTGTACCAACATATGATTACTTTGGTTGCTACTGTTCCAAATGATCAGTGCACCGGTACTGGGGACAGAAAAGTGGAGAAGAACAGCATGGCAAGCGGAAACTTTAATAAGTTTTATAAAGACACAAGAACAAGCACAAAAAAAAAAACGAAATGTAACAAATACTCAGTAGCGATGGTACCGCATGCTGTACATATGAACCAAAAAATCCAGGCAATCGGATGGACGGACAGATAGCAACAGAAGAAAAGGCGATTTGCCCACTTTAGAGAAGAAGAAAAAAGTCAACAATCTAATGTTGTATCTGCATGTAAGTTGTTGTTAATACAACAATAACAGCAGCAATAGCAACAACAACAGCAACAGCGGCAGCAGCAACAATAAACGATATCACCAATTGGCACGCACAGCACAACAGCCACGGTTGGTCAGCCAACGCATTTACTTTTGTCGTGTGCAACTAAATATACAAAAAGCGGCATAAATGTGTATATGTTTGTGTGTGTGTGTGTGTGTGTGTGTGTGTGTGTGTGTGTGATGAAATATGTCTGGAAATGGCTGCGCGGAGATTAGTTTATAAAATTGTACAAATCGCATACGTTGACAAAATGTGTTGATTGTGTGTTACAATTTGCCCATGTTTAACGTTCAAGTTGTGCTTGTTGGTGTTGTTTTGCTCTTTTTTTATTTTTCTTAAATATAATCCTCCACCTAATGATGCCAAAAACCTACCGTTAAATGCAGTGTTAGCCTCGAAACAACCGATTTAATATGTGTAAGCAGTATGTCTGCCTGCCTCTGCATTTGTATGTGACACTGTGCATGTGTGCTTGTGTTTGTGTATATGCTTGCATCGGCGAGTTTATGTCGGCAATAATTTTTTGCGTATTATTTCGTTTTCTATTTCGCAATTAATCAAAATGGACATTTGGTCATTGCGTGCCACCGCTCAATTAATATTCGATGGTATGAGCATAGATTTACTACGGTTGCTGTTATTGCTGTACAGCACAAGAGGATGCCTTTATGTGTGTGGTGCAAATACCTTGAGTTAGTTTTCAGGGTAATATGTATACAAAATACTTCCCGAATGAATGTGGGAAGCAAAACAATTACCATACATTTACAGCAATAAAGTTAATAAAGTCAATACATCATAAGGTGACAAGGTTCAGTTACAATTTTCACCGAAAAAAATTAAATAAGTAAAAGAAATAAGAAAAACCTTTAAAAACCAGGATATTTACCCTGAGGTTTCACTAAAGTTCTGAGGACCTTAGAAAAAAGCTGTGGACGGAGTTTTTCAACCAGATGAAAATAGCAAACTGTACTTGCACCTGCATCACCAAACAAAAACATTGAAAATTTATTCTTTTTCGTTAATTACAAGTCGATTGCCATAATACATCAGTCAATAACTCCTCGCTTTTGAAATGTTGATGTCGTCTCTAACACAAAATCCTTATCACTTTGGAGAACTGACAACCACAAAACGCTGTTTGACAAAACTTGTTGTCATGTCGACATTGGGTATAAACTTCACTTTTGTCGTTTTCGGAACAACGGAAAAATTTAAACCGAGTAGAAACCCAGCAGTGGTGGTGGCACCTTAACACATCGAAACAATTGTAAAAACAAGTACAAGCATTATACTGAGCCACTGGTCGCTGCTGATTTTCATTTAACAACCCTTGAAAATAAGACCTTAAATTAGAAATGGCCCAATCCGAACTATTTCCAATAACGTTCGTGATTGGGTCAAAGCAAAAAAAAAACCAGGACGCACAGACGAACAGACAAACTTAGATTCTGAATCGATCGGTATAAAGAAAAGTCAAGTCCGTCTAGATGTTGCATACACTGACGTCCTAAAGATATCAATATGCAGCGTATTTATTATTTTACCTAGAAAATTCAGAAAAACATGCCGTCCAAGTGAAGAAATGCTCTGTATAATCGAAAGCTTTAAGCTAAAGTAAGCTCCATCGGGTTTATTCGAAACAAAGATGGACCTACACCCCGATCGCAAACGTAGAACAATGAATGGGGAGGAAACAGAGAAGAGAAGTTAATTTCATCCTAACCCAATTTTTCACTAGTCATGGAAATTTTGCGACGGTGCGCAGCACACTGTCTTCAGTTGTTTGGCTTGGGCATATTTGAGCAACAGGCATTCCAAATCCCTGGAATTAGAAACTACCAGGTAACCTACTAGCGGTTATGTTAGAACGATAGAAGAAGCGCCGCTTTTTGCAAGGCATGGTTCTATATGAAGCCACACGGTGATGGCATATAAACCTCCAATCTTAGGCGAAGACGGAGGTACATAGACCGATATAACGATGATCAACACTCCATCCATAAAGATCCACCCCGAGATAGCGTGAAAGCGGCTCCGTGACAGCTTTGACCCCATTAAAGGGCCGCTGGTTGGCAGTGCATTCCCACCAGGTCTATATGTGCTGCGTAGAGCAAGATTTAAGTGGTGGGAATGCCATGGTTTTGAAATTGAAATCAAAAAGTTACGGGTAAAATCGGAACCCTTCTAAATCGAAAAAATGAAAAAAATCTTAATTAGAAAACTTTGCCAAACTTCTACAACACCAGCAGCAGCAGCATGAAACGAATTAACAATTTCTAAAGTTTTCAAACGATGGGAGTTATCTGAAAATAGTCTGTCAACAATGCGAATAAAAAATATGAAACGGAAAAAAGTCAAACGAGACATTTCCGTGCGCAACAATATGTTCGAAAACCTTTAAGAAAGCTTCCTTTAAATCGTATTGTCACTTTCTTCAAAAAATAACTTCGTTATTGGTAAGTACCGTAATTCTCAGGGCTATTTGGTAGCCAAAGAGTTGGTTACCCTTTATTTTATAAAATCTTTTCCCACCACCTTCGTATCAGTTAAGAATACAAAATAAAATATTGAGCTCGTGCGCTTGTTCATTAATATATTAATGAAAATTTAAACAATTTAAAAACCGCTTTTTGACATTTCAATATGTTGTTTATAATTTTATGCCAAATTCTCTTTACAGATTAAGACACTTTGTTGAAATTTACGCAACATAAGCAAAAGATAAGATTTAGAACAACTACACAACAAGACCACATTACGGAACGCGCTTATGGTATTACGATAAACTTGCTTTTATTGCCGATCACGGTATTGGGGGGATTAGGATTGATAAAGTCATTGTTATTGTAATATAATAAAGAATGTAACTGTAATCTAGATATGATATACTATTATTATAGAACGAGAAAGCAGCGGGTGCTTACCTTTTTGTAATTTTGTATATCTACTCTCTCGCAATTTACGCCAATATTAAATTGTACATTTATATAATTCTTAATAAATAAATTTGGTAACAATTTTAATACTATATAAGTTATATTATATATAAGTTGAAATGGAAAGCACATGTCGTTTTTAACTTTTCTGCGTTTTTATTGAATGTTTGTCAGATGTAGTAGATCAGTGCAGTTTTTCACATAATTTAAGGAAGAAAAAGATGAAATTAAATAATTAATTAAACAATTGTTCAAGCGATATATCAAGATTTAGAGGTCACCCTCGGTATACAATAGCTAGACGTGGTATAGAAAACACTCTTAAATATAATCCCACTACACTTAAATATAATCCCAAAAGTTATTCTGCCCCCGAAGGATAAGATAGGTACCAGGATAAGTAGCTAGCGTTCCACTTGGAAGTATTCGTCTATGCCCTCCAAATCCTATCATTTGCCATCTTTTTTTTGAATGGTTTACATGTTTAGCGTTTTTGAACATGTGTAGTTGGATATGTATTCGTATTTGTACTTGCGGCAGCTACAAGTCGTTTTTAACATAGTAGTGGAGGCTGAGATCTTATTAATTAGAAAGTCAGAGACGTTAACAAAAAACCCAATACAGCAGGGCTGTTTTGGCAGAGATACGGCAATCCCCACATAGAAAAAGTAGTAATAACCAACAACCGTTATAACCATTTGTTACACAAATAATCATATAGAAACAGCTTTCGTAACAAGCCCAATAAATTTTAAATTAGCACTACGCATTTAATTAATGAAAAGAAAAGAGAGAAAAAAAGAGTAAATCATTGAAAGAAAAATAAGATAACGTTACCTGCAGATTAAGCGAAATGTGTATAATAAAAAATTCCATACCTATTACAAACGTTTGGAATTAATGATAACAGTTTTTTTTTAATTTTTCTCTTTACTGCGTTGGTTTACTACAAGCAAAGTATATAAATGTCACTAAAATTAATACAAGAGGCAATTAAATTTTCTTTTATGGTTATATACCGATAGCAGAAGAAGAAACCATTAAATGCAGAGAGACAAAAAGAAACGATATGCAAATGTGTTACCGTTAACGCAGCAATATCGCTTGTGCGACTGGAGCATTTCCGTTCAAATAAATTTCGAAAAAAAAACCAGGCGACAAAAAAAGATTTGTGAAATCTTAAATTTCTCTTTACGCATACGTACACACATTCGCAGACGTATCGCTAAAAGCCAAGAAAAAAGCTAATGATAACATAAATTATGTTTATATATTCCTTACATATATACATATATATATATATATATATATATACATGCGTGTGGGGATATTATGATTGAACAACAAATCCATGCATGCATGCGTTTCGGTTTAGCATGAACCATAAATTTTAATTGTACAAATAAAAATTTGAATAAAACACATTTGCATGGCTTAGAGAGTTTGTATCTGTCTATGTTTCTGGACAAGACTTTAAGCATGCATGTGCGTAAAAATAAATTATTAATAATGCTTTTGCTTACACTTGGATTGCCGCTTATGAGAAGCACTTTTTTTTTCCATTTGCAACTAGCATACATACACATTCAAGATACATGGCTTCATTGAAACGAACGACAATGTAACGGTATGCTTGTGACAGTTAACAGTATTTTCGCATGTTATTGATACAATATGGAAAAACGGTCAGAGAGAGAGATGCAGACCACACACACTATATTCTACGACAAGATTGAATTGTCATAAATTTTAGATTTTGGAAGTTTTTTTATTATTTGAGAATTATTGAAATCCCTCTAAACCACTTGCAATTGTAGGGATTGATCTTCATGTTGTGGTTTGGAGGCACTGTATCTAACAAATTTATTCATTTGAAAGGTTTCATCTTCATAATAATCATCATCGACTACAAACACGTCTACCACCTTGGCAATGGTATACTGCTCCTGTTTAAGGGTATTAATCAATATCAAAGGCGAAACTTTAATCAAACCCAATTTGGTAGGAAATATTGTCAAAGGAAATTCTCTCTGTTGGGTTGGGTCCAGAGGACCTAAGCAGAATTCCGCTGACCCGGTATACGGACAATTGAAATCCAAAATTGTTGGTAACTTTACTATTAAATCCATAGGGCGATCAGTGGTATTTGTGATTCTGCACAGGAATGTAAAAGACTCTCCAATTTTAACGATATTCAACGCTTCTACAATTTCTAAGCGCACATCCTTATATTCAAAAGGCTATTTGAGTAAAAAAGAAATAAAAAGAAGACTTTAGACCGTTTTATTAGGAGAAACGTTACGCATTTTCTTACCAATCTTTGGAGAGGACTTGTTTGCAAGCGTCCTTTTTCGCCTAAATTCGAACGCCACACTATATCCAGTTTACCTACATTATTAGCCATTCTAAGCAAATTAATATCCTTGGCTATCTCAGGCTTAGGCTGCAAAATTACCTTTCTTTTTGTGAATAATTCAATATATTTTTAATATTGCCCTCACCTTGATGCAATAGAGAAACTGGCAACTATTTTTAGGTTGTAACATGTTCTTCGAAGTAAACACTGATTCCCCGTTGGGCAAAGTATTCAAAGCTGTTACGGTATATTGTTCCGAACTATCTAATTCTACTTTTTCTAAACAAAATGGCCCAGTGGTGATATTTTGTATCTGCGCTTCTAGATAGATTTCGTCCATTTCGGCATTATAGAACTTAGTAGTAACGTCCAAAGGCTTAAGAACTTGAAATTTAAAAAATTTCCGAAAATATTGCGCTATACCGGCCAAGGTGACATAATTAACTTCGCAAACCAGACTGCAGATAGAAATATAAATAAATTACATTTAAAAAAATCGAAGACCTTTAAAGAAAAACATACACATGTGTCCCTATTTCTTTGACTTCATAACGTATAACGTCGTCTAAGGTCTCATCGGGCGCTAAAGTCGCTGGTTTCGACTTATTTTCATGTATAGGTAAACTAATACGTGTACTATTCGATTGCAAGTCAGCTTTAACAGAAACACCCTCGACCGTATGTGAAGTGCAGTTGTGTACGCAGATATAACTGGAGAATGTTTCACCCAAATAAATATTACCGAACGATTGAGGTAATAACATAAATTGACCAACGGCCAAAGTTTCCGCACCTGCTACTGTCGTTCCCTCATTTTCCAGACTTTGTCTTAAGCTGAAATGTGGCAAATCTTTTGGCTCGCAGGTGATAACTTGTGGGCCCACCAAAGTAGGACGAGTGAGGCGCATAACTAGAAAAGTAAAATCAACTAAAGTTTTCGTTTGTAATACTAACTTTGCATCGACTACCTTTAAGAGCAAGCAAGTGTTCACTTTGTTCCAAGAGAGGATTCATTTTTGTATTAACTTTTATATATTTAATAAATTGTTTGCAATTGGGGCAACGAAATCTAAAGTGGAGTAGAGAGAGAATGTGTTAACAAAGAGTAGATTATTAGAAGATTAAAAAAATATTAATTTCCAATTTTGTTAGATCTAAAGTAAAAAAAATTATCTTTACAGATTTAAGAATAAATATTTCTCTTAGAATATTTTCTCCTGATAGAAAACATTTAAAATAAAAAGGAAGAAATGAAGAAAGGTTAATTTTAGTAAATAATAAATATGATGGGAAAGATAAAGAGTGAAAGGAAAAAGTTAACTCAACTTACGGTAAACTCGGCAATTTGCCTTTCAAATTTGTTTACAAGCCGTTGTACGTTAGTCCTCGTTATGCAGTATCACCAGCAACTTACTTTGTTCCAAAAAGAGAATTCATTTTTGTTTATTTATAATTCTCAAGAAACCATATGAACTTTTTGTACATAGGATTGCCAGCATTACAACTAAGCCCGTTTTTTAAATACCCAAAATTTTCATTGGGATGTCACTAAATAAATAAAGGACTACAAAATTACTTATAAATAGAATCCATTATTAGTAGAATTTAATAAACTGTTTTCTTTCCTCTTTGAATCATTCATAATATATTAATCAAATTATTTAAATAAACGGATAATTTTCTAGAAAGCATTTTCGCTGTAAATATGTAAAACACACAAAACCATTTCTTGCTTATGAATCTCCGATATTTAAATTGAGCAGTTTATAACCAATAAACGGCTGATCGTATCGAATAACATTCTAACAAGCTTGTACACTGAAGTTAGCGAATTTTTTCCAATCGCATTACACATATTTAAGAACCTTGTAATGCCATATTAACTTTACCTTAAACGATTCTTTACAAAAACCTTTTTTAATGTCTTCTTCGTTTCTTTAATTATTATTTTACGTCCAATATTGAAAATTTGCCAGAGCCGTTAGATGATATACAAAAGCTTGAGATTTTTTTACGTGATTTAATTAAACGAAACGTGGTCGCATTTAATTTCAAAATTTGGTTACATTCTTATTTAATTAAAAGCGTAGACAATTTCTTTGCTCATTTTTGCTGCATACGGTTTTAATATCAGTTATTTTGATTGAAATAATATGGCCAATCGCGGAAATCGGGGCCGTAAAACAGAGGAAGTGGTTGATAATACTATTAATTACGTTCAATGTGATGGTTTGGTAAAGAATTTTTTGTGAAAAAATTTTAACAATTTCGAAAATTTGATACTTTTTTTTGGCGTTTAGGCAGTGATGAAAATTGTCAAGCATTGTCATGAGGAATCTAGCACTATGGATTTAGCACAAGGTGCTCTTCTTGGTCTGGTAGTTGACAAATGCCTTGAAATTACGAATTGTTTTCCGTTTCCCAAAAGCGACGACGAGACAATGGATGAGGAAATGTATCAGTTAACTATGATGAGGCGCTTGCGTCGCGTAAATGTTGACCATTTTCATGTAGGCTGGTATCAAAGTGCCAACGTCGGCAACTTTTTATCTGTGGCACTATTGGAATCGCAATTTCATTATCAAACCAGTATTGAAGAATCAGTGGTGGTAGTTTATGACACACAAAAGTCAAGTCGCGGTTTCCTGTGCTTGAAAGCCTATCGCTTAACACCGCAAGCAATACAAATGTATAAGGATAACGAATTCACCCCAGAGGCTTTGCGCAATCTAAAAGTGGGCTACGAACGTTTGTTTGTGGAAATTCCAATCGTAATTAAAAATTCGCCTTTAACCAATATAATGATGAGTGAGCTAAGCGAAATGATGCCTGAAGAGCAAGGACACAATTTCCTTGATTTGGCTACTGCTTCGGTATTAGAGAATCATATGCGTTGCTTAATCGAACGTGTTGATGAACTATATCAGGAATCAACACGTTACAATAAATACCAGCAGGCAGTCTTCAAACAGGAAACAGTAAGTTGTGGTGAAAAAAATGATTGCAAAGCAATTAATTTATAAATTTCTTGCAGGAAAAACATCGTGCCTTGGCTAAACAGGCTGCTGATAATGCTATGCGTGTTTCCAAAGGAGAACCTCCCATACCCGAAGAGGAAGTCTTAAAACAATTTCGACCTTTACCAGTACCGCCAAGGCTTAATGCTACCATTACATCGGGACAGATTAACACTTACTCACAGCACATGTCACAATTTTGCTCGCAGTCTTTGGCGAAATTATTTATTACTCAGTCTTTACAAAATGCCAAGGAGGCAAAAGATGCTAAGTAAATTTTTCGAAAAGATCCTTCATTCCGTCTTTGCATTTATTGTTAAAAAAAAATATATTAAATACTTGTAATAAATTGCCGTAAATTAGACGGACGGGAAATAACTAAAGAAGTTTATGTGTTTGATTATAAGAAATTCTATTAAGCGAAGAAAATTATTGCTAACTTCTCTTTCCAAACCACTGAAATAAGTAAAGCAATATTTAACCGGTATGGTGTCCATTTGCGATGATTGCATTGTAAAGAAAAAGAAGAATTATTAGACTGCAGTTTATGTGATTGTTATTGTAAGCAAAACAAATGTAAAAATAAGATACTGAATTTTGTTAAAATTTCCTTATAAAAAATCGAAAGTAAAAGAAATGTGGCCGATAATTATGGCTGTGCTGCGGCGAAACGCTGTTTATATAACCTTGCCTATAGCTGGAGTTATAGGCTTTATAGGTTATAACTTGGAAAATTTACTATCGGATAAGTATACACCATACAGCAGTAAGTATGGAGTAGATAGGGAAAGATGTATTATCTCATTTGCAAAAAAGAATGTTCTTATCTCTTACAGAATCTATTCAAGAAAATCGTGCAGAACGTTTAGCAGATGATGAGCTGCTTGCCAGTGCAACCAACGTAGAAAAGTTGCGCCTAAAAACTAACGTTCTTGAAAGAAATTTGCCACCTTCCTTGCAAAAATAAAGCGGGCGGAATAAATATTAATAAAGAAAAAAATAATAGAATCGCATTTATGTTTAAGAGAACAAAAAACAAGCCTTACATCCTCCTTTGTATAATATATGTTAACAGGTAACAAATAAAAAGGCGCAAATAGTTTTATTGCAAAATTATGTAAGATAATCTAAAAGATGGCGAAACCGACAAAAACACAGTGTTTGAATATGTATGAATTAATTAAATGAAACATATAGGCGACATATTTCAATACTTACTGTTCGAATTTAACAAAACTTAAATAAACGATTGGTTTTCATTCTGCCCAAGATTAAAAATATCGAATAAAAAGGTGAGCTTTGTAGGGAAAGATAATGTAAGTTATGCAAATATCAGTTGAACTCTTTAGGTGTAACGTGATGTGTGAAACGCACTTGGAAATTATTGGGAGGAGATGCCTCTTTAGAAAGTTTCGTCGGGTTGCCTATACCCACAGTTATTAATTATACTTAATTTCCAAACTTTTAGGAGCCCCAGTGGCCTAATGGATAAGGCATCGGCCTCCTAAGCCGGGGATTGTGGGTTCGAGTCCCATCTGGGGTACGAGCTAGGGAGTGTTTTTTATTTAAATTTTTTCTTTTTTAAAAAAATATTTCTGAAAAAAAAGCGGCTTGTAACCTGCACAGGTTATTACCATCCCTTGCGGGGATCGAACCCGCGACCTTTGGATTAGAAGTCCAACGCGCTATCCTCTGCGCCAAAGGGACACACAATGCTTTCTTTTCAAATGCGTAACTTATTACAAATCTGTTCATGCATATGGTTACCATTCTCAAATATATTTACAAACAACTTCTAAGTTCCATCTGAACAACTTGATTTAATATATTAGGTAACCATGAAATGGAATTAACAATAGTTGAAGACAGAAAGGACAAATGACGAGTTCCATATTTATTCCTAAACAAGCTTAACATCGCATGAAGAAGGCTTTTTTATTAAACGAACTTTTGCAGAATATGTTGATAATGTGAACGTCTGCAATGCTATCGACAGACTTATTAATTTTTTGACTTGCAAACTGCATAAGTGGCTGTACATGCCGACCGCGAGCGTGAGGTGCTCTTATATCAAGTTTGCGTTAGTTAAGCTTTCAAATATCCTTCAAGGGATCAACTCGTGCGCGATATTGGCAGACATAATGTTGGACAGACGGTAAAACAAATTTATGTCTTGGTATTGGGCTTATATGTATTGGGCAATTCTCACGTCTTGGTAGTGGGATTTAAAAAAGGCGTTGAAAATCTATTCTACGAGCCATTCCAGGTAAGCGAGGAGACTTATATTTTTTAAACCGATTTTTGATGAAAATATTTAATTAAGGGAGCTGTGGAAGTTCATTATTCAATCATACAGTAGGAGGCGGACATTTAAGAAGGACGTGTATGTAAGACGAATACGTAATCTTCAACAATAACACGATTACCAATATAAACCACCTAAACTGTGACGACGTAACTCTATGTCACAGGCTAAAGAGCGTTGTATGTAGCACTTTATCAATGTTATTTCAAACTTGATGAGATGCAAATATTTCATTGAACACTGATTTTATTGTGTGGTGATTAAATTTTTAATTATATTTCCCATCAAGCATGTTTGTACTCAGCCAGCTAAAAATGTACAAAAAATGTGCGAATATTGCAACCTAAAAATCATCCAAAATTGTATACACGATTTCAGGAAATACCTATGAATTCTTTGGAAGTTACTTTTATAGCGCCCCGGGGTTTTCTAGAAGGTCTCATACTTTCTGAATATTAAAAACAATGAGTCTGTTATGAAAATTTAAAGATTTCCGTCTTTCAATTTGTGTAATTTAAAGACATGAGACGAATCTAAAAATCGATCGGTAAAATATACTTAACGTTCACAATTTACACTTTGAATAATTATTTATTCAAAAAGAAGGCCTTGATGAACTACCTCCCGACATCCCTTGCGGGAATCGAACCCGCGACCTTTGGATTAGAAGTCCAACGCGCTATCCTCTGCGCCAAAGGGACACGTTGGGGATTGCTGACTGGAAACGATAAATAAATTTAAAGACAAATGAAGCAATAACATATTTGAAAAACTCAAGTCAATTTAAAAAACGAACAATAAAAGGAAACGTTTTTTTTGTTTAGTTTAGTATAGATATCGAAAATTCAATGCGCCTCTGCTCCGGAACGTATGCGTATTTTCGTTTTATGCATTTTTGATTGCGCTAGAGAAAAAATAACCTTGCTCGATAAATAGCGTACCGTATGGCTAAGGAAAAGTATTTTATGTATAATTTTTTTGGAAAAGCATATTTATGAAACGTCTTAAAAAAGCTGTCATGGCTTTTTTACGCATCACAAAGCTTTGATGTCGTTGCTACGATATCAATAGCCCCGGCGTTTGAACGCAACTAAGCTCGTAGTTAACAACAAGCTAAGTATGCATACATATAGTAGAATTTTCTTTGTGAGTTTTTTTCGTACCCATAGAAAAGGAAGACAAATGGTAGGCACCGTCTCAATTTAATGTTTTTAATTTAATTATTTTGTAGTAATTGAAAGTATGTCGTCTGGCTTTTTACGACTCCGGGACTTTAGATGATCTTGAAATATTATTCTTGAAGTAAAATATCTACAAAAACGTAAGCAGAACTTTGTTGCTTATTGTGATCATGGTTGTAGATGGATCACAATCACGTCAAATAATTCCTCCTGTACATGCCGACCGCGAGCGTGAGGTGCTCTTATATCAAGTTTTGCGTTAGTTAAGCTTTCAAATATCCTTCAAGGGATCAACTCGTGCGCGATATTGGCAGACATAATGTTGGACAGACGGTAAAACAAATTTATGTCTTGGTATTGGGCTTATATGTATTGGGCAATTCTCACGTCTTGGTAGTGGGATTTAAAAAAGGCGTTGAAAATCTATTCTACGAGCCATTCCAGGTAAGCGAGGAGACTTATATTTTTTAAACCGATTTTTGATGAAAATATTTAATTAAGGGAGCTGTGGAAGTTCATTATTCAATCATACAGTAGGAAGCGGACATTTAAGAAGGACGTGTATGTAAGACGAATACGTAATCTTCAACAATAACACGATTACCAATATAAACCACCTAAACTGTGACGACGTAACTCTATGTCACAGGCTAAAGAGCGTTGTATGTAGCACTTTATCAATGTTATTTCAAACTTGATGAGATGCAAATATTTCATTGAACACTGATTTTATTGTGTGGTGATTAAATTTTTAATTATATTTCCCATCAAGCATGTTTGTACTCAGCCAGCTAAAAATGTACAAAAAATGTGCGAATATTACAACCTAAAAATCATCCAAAATTGTATACACGATTTCAGGAAATACCTATGAATTCTTTGGAAGTTACTTTTATAGCGCCCCGGGGTTTTCTAGAAGGTCTCATACTTTCTGAATATTAAAAACAATGAGTCCGTTATGAAAATTTAAAGATTTCCGTCTTTCAATTTGTGTAATTTAAAGACATGAGACGAATCTAAAAATCGATCGGTAAAATATACTTAACGTTCACAATTTACACTTTGAATAATTATTTATTCAAAAAGAAGGCCTTGCTGAACTACCTCCCGACATCCCTTGCGGGGATCGAACCCGCGACCTTTGGATTAGAAGTCCAACGCGCTATCCTCTGCGCCAAAGGGACACGTTGGGGATTGCTGACTGGAAACGATAAATAAATTTAAAGACAAATGAAGCAATAACATATTTGAAAAACTCAAGTCAATTTAAAAAACGAACAATAAAAGGAAACGTTTTTTTTGTTTAGTTTAGTATAGATATCGAAAATTCAATGCGCCTCTGCCCCGGAACGTATGCGTATTTTCGTTTTATGCATTTTTGATTGCGCTAGAGAAAAAATAACCTTGCTCGATAAATAGCGTACCGTATGGCTAAGGAAAAGTATTTTATGTATAATTTTTTTGGAAAAGCATATTTATGAAACGCCTTAAAAAAGCTGTCATGGCTTTTTTACGCATCACAAAGCTTTGATGTCGTTGCTACGATTTCAATAGCCCCGGCGTTTGAACGCAACTAAGCTCGTAGTTAACAACAAGCTAAGTATGCATACATATAGTAGAATTTTCTTTGTGAGTAGGCACCGTCTTAATGTTTTTAATTTAATTATTTTGTAGTAATTGAAAGTATGTCGTCTGGCTTTTTACGACTCCGGGACTTTAGATGACCTTGAAATATTATTCTTGAAGTAAAATATCTACAAAAACGTAAGCAGAACTTTGTTGCTTATTGTGATCATGTTTGTAGATGGATCACAATCACGTCAAATAATTCCTCCAAATTACTCATTAGTACTTGTTAAGAATTAAAAGTTACTTTTTTTATGTATCATGCGTCGATTGGGTTTTTTTTCAGACTTTGCACTGTGCATAATTACCTCGCCATATTTCGACTTTCTATTTCAATTTGCTTATGTGAACGAAAAAGTTATAACAACATGCAAATTATGCGTACAGTGATACACATAAGGGAAAAAGTATTCAGCAGTTCAGACTGATTAAAAGTAAATATACTTCATATACATTTTGGCAAGGATGTACGTATGTAATCCTCGCTTTTAGAATTTAGTAAACGTCAGTACATTATAAAATTAATGCTTGATTTTGACTTTAATACGAAACAATTAGCAGATACCTCGTAGCCTTGGTGGCGCAGTAGGCAGCGCGTAAGTCTCATAATCTTAAGGTCGTGAGTTCGAGCCTCACCCAGGGCAATGGATTTTTTTAATACTTGTGGTTTTGCTATTTTAAAAAACCGGCCACTTTCCCTGCTTTTATAACATTTTGAACATTTAAGCCTTTCTCCAAATTAGATTGAAATGGTCTCAACAAATTTAGCCCATGTTTCCTCTGCACAGAAATTCTATTCATTAATTACAGACATGCGATAGAATTGCTGCACCTGAAGTAAGCTAAGACCAAAACTCGATCTAAGTTTTGGACCCTAACATATGTAAGAGTTATATTAAAAAGCACGGCTTGTGTCTTAAGCTCTTCAGCGTGTTACACACATCCGCACTACTCTAATATGTCCTGTACCATAGGTGATAGGGAATTTGAATCAAGAGACAAAAAAAACAAATTTTAAAGTTTACTCATATATTTTTAAGGCAATGGAGCCGAAATTCGAATGTGAACACAGGCCGGCAAATAAACCTATACCAATTATTTATTAGAAAATTCCAACTTTTGCGGTACGAATAAAACGTACACCAAACATTTATTAGAAAAGCACAGCTGATTCCAACTTTTGAAATGTTTTTTCATTTTTCAATGAGTTAGCTCGCAAGAAAATATTAATTTATTATACTTCATTAATTAATTGTTTCGCTTTTCTTCATTTTTATAGGTTTTCAAATCGACTTCATTGATTCGAAAAAGAACGGAGGCAAACTCTTAGTTATTAATGGTTTTCGCTTTTCCCACAATAAAAAGCATGCCTCACGCCTATATTGGAAGTGCAGCAACTGCTATAAGAAGAAATGCCCAGCTATTGCAATCTACGATGATATCACTTTAGATTTATGCTTATGCCTTATGTCCTGTACCACAAATGGTAGGATATATGAATCATAGATCTAAAATTGACGGTTTTGTAAAACAAACATATTCCGCATCAGTGCGAAGTCAGTCTTTCTCGTTGGCTATGGTAACTTAAACCATAGCTAAATAAGTTCGCTTTTAAATAATATTAATAATACGATATAAAATCACTGTATAATATATACAATTTTTAATATCATAAATTACATGTATGGCATTTTAATTAAAGGTATTTTCAAAAGTAAAAATTATTCTTCTCTTTTCTTAAGCCGTGGTAGTCGTGCCGAACTGCAATAAAAATGAGAAATAATTTCATAGAGCTTAGAAAATAATTCGTGGTAGTTGCGTCAAACTGAAATGGAAGTGAGAAATAATTTCATATTATATAGAAAGTAATCCGTGGTAGTTTTTATTCATATGATTGGGTAGCTATTTTTTGCTATTTCAATTCTAATATTGGCTATTTGGCGAGCTCTAAAGGCGATATTAATTTATGTCGAAACTGGTACCGGTTTGCAAGATACATCATTTCCCGAACAAGTGCAAGATATATTATTCAATTTCCGCATGATTCTGTCAGATAATGGGAAAATGAAAGAATGAAATGAAAATTTTTGGGGAAATTATCCGTAATAGCTTTAAATCGTGTTTACACTGTGTTTCTGTAATTTCAGCTGAAATGAAGGAAAAAGATGAAGATTTCGCTGTGCAAAATATATCACATAAACTCAATAAAATTTGTAAATTTGTTACATGAATAACGTTATTAAAGGAAATGGTGGAGAATAATTAACTGTGAGTCCTTTTAACGCTCTTACTTGTTTGTAGTAAATATTAAAATTTTTAACAACACCGATCCTCTTGTTCCTTCTATATGTACAATAGTTGCGCTTTTCGGTTAGCATCAGTAAAGAAATATTGCCTACGTTTAGATTATATCGTTCACGAGACTTTCTAGAGGGAGGCAGAAACATAAATTTTTCGTCTCATAATAGTTCCTTGTTCCTTTCTTTCTTCAAAATCCGTTTATATGTTAACAAAAGCCATATATTTTGAGGATTTATGATTATGTTGTAATTAATCATTTACGTGGAACCGTAAAGACAAAGTTAAAAGCATAATTTATTTGCTCTTTAAATTTTTAAATGGTCAATGTGAAGATCATTTTCAATCAGAAACCATTTAAATATTTCGTAGTATAACATCTCTGCTTTAGCATTATCATTAAGTTGTTTATATAATTCGATTCGGTTCGCATCGCTTTTTTAAATAGTTAACGGAAACTTTACATTGCTTTATTTCAGTATATGATTTATTTTAATATATATATAATAAGTCTGTCCTTTATATCGAAAATATTTTTCTTCTTTTTTTTGTTTTTTTTTTTTGTTTTTTTTGAATTTAATTTAAATAAAAAGTTAAGAAATCAATCATAAATTTATTTCATTAATATTTTCTTTCTCTTTTATTTGCCCATACGTTGTATCGACCATTCCTGTTGGCACAAGGGACAACGATTATTCTGTTTGACCCATAATGACATGCAGCAATGATGAAACGAATGATTACATTCACCCCAAACGACAACACAATCTTGACGGCCGGGGAGATCTCGTTTATTTTCAGCCTGACAGCGTAGACAAGCATCTACAGCGAAAGTGAAACAAAAAGAGGGGAGGAAATATTTTAAGAAATTTGACAAATTTTACAAAAAATGTTAAAAAATACTTTCAATGACAAGATGCCGCACAATTATGACATTGAACTACGCAAATATATGTATTTTACTTTTTTCTTGTTACATATTTTGTCTTCACTCGAATCAATGGAAGTAAATCATCAGTCGGCCGATTGCCAATTATTTTATGTCGCTGTCGTTCATTATAAGTGATTCTTATAGAAAATGACGCAAATATCGTCGTAAATGTCTGTATTTGTATGGCATCACATGATATATTGTTATTTTCCACGATGAGAATAGTGATGACGATGATCAAAGTACACACCTCCCGTTTTCAATTTGTTTTCATTAATGATCAATATTTTAATTTAGAAACTGTGGAATGATGTGATTACGTTGTGGCAGCATGCGAACTTGCACGTTCGCCGACTGAATATACGTTCCTTGAATTCAGCGTAGCGTTGTAGCGTTGTCTATATGCATTGGAGTTATTTCAGCCGTCAAAATACTCTTTCACATTTTGATCAAAATTTGCTCATCTTTTTTTTACATGTTCTTTACTTTTGTGGTTATGCCCTACCTACCCGACTCCTTGTGGCACAAGGGTGAAAAATTGGTACAATATATATACACCGCGTCGGAAGAACGGTATTGGTTTGGCAGTGATCCAATCATCATCTCACTTTCGCACTACTTCATCCTTTCATCCACCGCTTGTTAACCATTAAAACCAAAACCGACAATTAGGATGCGACGAGGCAGCATCACCACAAGCTTCTCAATGCGCTTGATAGGTTTCGGCGGTAGATTTCTTTATACCAAACAACAATAGTAATAAATGTCGAAAATGCATTAGCGTCTGTAACTCAACATTATTTTATGTAAGGAATCGTGAAAATAATCGAATTTAATCGTTACGTAGCTGATCGAAACACTTGCAGGCATCTATTATATTGCGTTAGTGCGAATATGTGCAACAGCCAGAAGGACTTGAGATGGGCCCGCCTTATTTTGAAAGGCAGTGTCATAATGGCGTAGGGTATTTAATGACGAGCCGTGGTCACTATAGTGTTTGTACTTGCTTTTAAAATAATCCCTCGACTAATGCGAAGTGATTTTAAAGTGCTGAAGTTTGTCGTCTAGCTCTACAAATCTTCTTACAAATTGTATTCTATTTTTAAATGAATATTTGATAGCCTTGCATTCTAAAAGTATTCTAGAAAGTCAAAGAAGAAGATCTCTGAATGTCAGTCTTGCACAAATTTTCTAGTGTTCCGAATAAAATATATATAAATATTTTCGATGCGTTTATTATATATGTACATATATAAATCAAAAAAATTCTGGTAAATATATGCATATAGATACAACGTTTAAAGTTTCAATTTGAAAGTAACACGTCGTATAATATTTTGTTAAACGATGACTAAGCGGTTATTAGCCTTTCATGTACATCTAGACAGAGTAGGTATATTATAATCAAAATGCGAAAGCTTATTATGCAAGCTGCAAAAAGGAAGTTTTTACTCGTGTTTATTCTCTACACATAACGGTATACAGGCAACACTCGCTTAACATCTTTATTCGCAAACCAATGTGCACCGAAACTAAGTCTTAAATTGTAAAATGTTTATTTTTTAAATTTCGTGTTAAATGCGCAAACAAAAGTAAAAGTAAGAACACCTCATAAGTTTACAAAAAAAAAAAAAGAAGTGAAATTCGACATTACGTTGAAATAATAAAAAATCAGTCGAAAAAAAACATATATTAGATTTTTTGAAATCGTGCTATACAAACTCGTGTTATAATAATCACAAATTTTATACCATGTTGCACTGAAGCTGGCAACGACGACTGTATATGATTTAAAATTTTTTAAATGTCAAAGTTGTTTTAAAATGTTTGTAAATGTGTGAATTTCTTATTTCCATTTTAAATAATGAAAAAAATCCTCCCGAAGCGGAAATCGAACCCAACACTAATGCTAGCAGCAAACAGAAATTGTCATTATATAACTTTTCTATATTTATTACATTTATTTCATAAATACAACTCAGTGATCGTGAGTTCAAATCTCAAATGTGCTAGAGTTTTCAATAAAGCTGATAGTCTTACAGGCGAGTGCTTTAAGATTTTAGTTTTAGAATTTATTTTTCTGGGTAAATTAATAATAATAATAAAAGTTTATGAAATAATTTTAATTCTAGAATTGTACCGATGATTACTAGACCATGGATTATAACACATTAAGCGAATATCAATCATTAAGAAGTCCAGAAACCACAAATCTGCCTGGCCGGTTAATCGATCTTGATATCGAGTAAACTCAATAGCTTCGCATTATGGACCTATTGAAATGGGCAAAGTGTTTGCAGTTGTCAACAAAGGCTGCATTTTTCTTACTGCCAACTGAAAAATCTTTCCATCGTAGAATTAATGCCGAATTATGATCGACTTTGGTCGATACGGAGAATCATCTATCGGTGTATTAATGAGTTTTCATGAATGCGGATATATTTGTTTTGTGAAAAAATTTGCGACACTCAAAAGGAAGCTTCGCGGACTCTATAAGGGTGATATATTGCGGGTCAGCATCAAATTTTGATGACTCGACTTAACAACCATTTACGTCTTTTATTTGTTTTTTTTTGTAATTAACATACTTTTATAGCTAAATATACAATATTTTTACAAACCAAACGTTTATTTACTAAAACATCCTTTGGCTAATGATATGAATTTTTTTCCCGTAGAATATAAATGCGGAAGTAAAACGCGGAATAGCTTGAATAGATTCATTTGGATGAAGAAATTATGTTCGCACAATTACCAAGTGATCTGCAGTGTAACGTAGATTAGTGAAGGGATAAGGGTGAGTGTTTTCTAATCTTCTGAAATTTTTGAGGTTGAAATTTTAACTGATAGTGTAATTAAAACAGAATTTGTATTTGAACATTTTTATTAGCAAAACGAAGGCATCTAGAGACACACGAGCGTATATTCATTATATGTATAGACGTTTCTATGTACGAATGCGAAACCGGTTGGTATTTTAAATAAATAGTGTGTTAATGTGCTTTTACGCCTTTAATGATAAATTGATTTAAAGATCACATAAAATTAAACACGTTTCGTGTTCACTGCGTCGTTTTGTAAAAAAAAAAACACACACACATACACGCGCACATAAAATCTAGAAATTTTAATGAGTTTGCCTTCAGTTCAGTGTATTGTTATTGTCGACTAGCAGCTCTCGTTTATTGACGTACGTGACGTCATGCACGGGGGCTTGTCTAGGAGGCAAAATTTCGCGAACCTCTTGGAGAGTAAAAAAAAACGTAAGAGAAACATAAAACAGAGAAAGTAAGAGTCAGAGAGAATCATAGAGAGTGAAGAGAGAGCATATAGAAAAGAGCAAACACAATAAGAGCATTTAAAGAGACATATACGAACATCGTAAAGAGATTAGAGTAAATAACGCATAATTTCATAAGTGGTAACAAATGATGATTTTTTATAGGTAATACATTAAAAATGCCAACCCAAATGTATTTACTAAAGAAATATCTAAAAATTAAAAAATATATAAAAAAGTACGTTTTTTTTTATGTGGAAAACATTAATCAAAAGATATGTTAACGAATTTCACAACGTTCGCTATGCATTGGATCTTTTCCCTTTTTCCCCCGGTCTTGTTTCAACGGATGTTGATGTACTCTTTCTTTCTTTCATTTTTGTATGCTACATGTTCCGTGCACTTAAATCGATAAAAAAAAAAGAAAAGAAAAATGCATGTGTGGCGTGTTTGTAAAACATGTGATGCCGCCGCCACCACCTATCAAGCCTAACATACTAGTATGGAATGGAAAATTCCCAAAAGCATCTAAATACATACCTATCTATCTACACATGCGTATGCATATGTGTGTGTAATGGTATATGTGAAGACGTTTGTATATATATGTACGAGTGGTTAGATCTTGTTTGACTTGAGCGTAACACACGTATGGAAAAGAGACTTTTTGCCCACTTTATTTTATGCCGTACTGTATGTGTCTGTTTTTATACCCTACACAGCTTGTGGTGCTGTATACATTAAGTTTGATGCGGATGTATGTAACACGCAGAAAGGTTTACGATAGGCCCACATTTTGTTAAACTGATCGACTCAGAACCATTTTCTGAATCAGTCTAAGCTTGTCTGTCCCTCTGTCCACCTGATGTCTGTACATGTATTTTTGTGCTCAAGCTACAGATCGCAATTTTTGAAATATTTTGATGAAATTTGGTACACTGAAGTGCTTTGACTCAAGGACGATCGCTACTGAAAATGATTTGACTTTTTCGACCGCTCCCCATATAACTTCCCATAGGTTTAAAAATCGTTATATGGAAAAAATTGCAACTTTCAATTTTTTTCGACAAAAGTGCCTAAATAAATAATAGTATTCCGACATTCTAAATTGGTAGGAATATTTTGGATTGGCTGTGGCAATTTTTGAGTCTATAGCAACAACTAGTTCATATGGTAACAAGATCTAATTTTCAATGCTTCATGATGAAAATAGTAACAGTAATTTAAGCCAAAAAAACCAAGTTTGGACCACCAACGCCCATTTTTGGATCCTACGGAAAATATTTATGAAAGTTTCTGCTTTCTAGGGCAGGAACGTTTAAATTTTAAAAGTCGATCCATAATAGTAATTTGATATAAAAATTAACTCTACAAAATTTGGACGACGTATGCATATTTTTGAATCCTATCCTATATAAGGATTCTAAGGAAAATATAGGTGTATTAGAGCATGAAAGTTTAGCATTTCATAATGGCAATTGATCTATAAAGGCAAATTAATAGCAAAATGAACTGCGCTAAATTTTAAAGACATAACTCAACTTTTGAACCTCTTGGGCGGAGTTTTTCCTATGTAAAGTAAACCTTTATTTCCAAGTAGGTCTAATTTTT